TTTTTATTTTGGCTATTTTTTATCAATTTGAAAACCATCTGATGAGCACATGACAATGAGTAACAGTGATTAATGATATAAAAATGATTGTCATGGAGCTATTTTGAAGGATATAAAGTAATCATGGCATTCAGCTCAGATGAACCATTAACCAACAAAATGATAACGTGCATGTAGCAGTCGTCCACGGCTGAGGCAAAGGTGTATTTTTATCTGATGGATGTTTTCTATAAAGGCTCGCACCATCTCGAGGTCAGTGTCGTCAACAGTTGCAAACAAGGAGTTTATTTTCTCAAAGTGACAATGCTTAACTCTGTGGGACTGAGCCTTGTGGTGCTGCTTTCAGCGATGGGAGCAGCCACCGTGGAGAGGTGAGATTCATTCATAAAATTGCATATTGGTGTCAAACTGACAGGAGGCAAACAAGTGTGGAAGACTCAGAATTGATTGATTAGCATTTTGTACAACATAAATTTATGTAGGTGGGAAATACTCTAGAAAGCCTCTCGTGTGTCTCGTGTTTTGGTGTGTGCAACAGAGCGGAGTACGACTACTACAAATACCATCCCATGCCAGAGGTGAGAAAGCCCGATCACTGCTCTCAAACATTTTACTTTGACAGATAACACACACACTCAGATGTATAATGTCTGTACTCCACTTTACAGATCGCAAACTGGATGGATCAGATTGCGAAGGATTACCATGATGTTGTGAGCATCGTGGAATATGGACAAACCTATGAGAAGAAGGTTATTCGCTTGCTCAAGGTAAACCAGATTTATAAATTCTTTATATCAGAGGAGATCATGATCCGAACAATAGCAGTGTATTGCTGATTTATGTGTGTTAAATAGAATCCTAATAAGAAGCTTTATAATCTGTCTTTCAGATTGGCGTGAATACTGGTGAGAAAAAGAAAGCTATCTGGATGGACTGTGGTATACACGCCAGGGAATGGATCGCCCCGGCCTTCTGTCAGTACTTTGTCAGAGAGGTAAGATGCAAAAATATAATTTATCATTTAAATATAAACTAGAGTCAGTCAAGTTGCACTTACAGATAAAGCTAACTTTTCAAACTGTTTTTGTAGCCGTGGTGAGGGCGTAACCTTCCAATATATCCATCTGACCTTTATGTATTTCTCAAATCAGATCCTGCAGGCCTACAAAACAGACCCAAAAATGCAAGAGATGATGACGAACATGGACTTCTATGTCACCCCTGTGCTCAACATGGACGGCTACATGTACTCCTGGAAGGACAACACAGTCAGTGCTTGTGTTTGAGGGATTCTTATCAAATTACTTTTCTAGGGTTTCTGAGTTGTGCCTCGAGCTCTCGAGCCACAGATGGGCAGGATATGAGAATGAAAGTGACGGCAGTTAAGTTATATTGAGTTACAATTCAATCAGTGGATAAATTGATATCTGGTCCTCAATGTGACCAAAGTACAAAATCATCTCATTTTCCAAAAGACGATGAATGTAAAAATGATGTCAAGCAGCAATCTAAGGCAGCGATGAAGTATGTTGAAGTGCCCATTTTATTTTTTTACTGAATTGATAGAACGACCAGAGCCAGGTGATTTAACTGACTGAACATTTTGACCCGTAGACTCGACTGTGGAGGAAGAACAGGTCACCGGGACCTTCAGGCTGCGACTGTTATGGCACTGATCTCAACCGCAACTTTGATGCCAACTGGGGCAGTGAGTGTTGTTGTGTTTCTCCATCTCTTCATGTATACAGCTTGTTGCTTTGATCATCATGGATAAGTGGGTATCACACAAACACAAGATACTGCTGAAGCTGTTTCCTCACTGCACAGTTTGTCTCAAAGGGATACTGATGAGTGATCTGAAGCACTGAAAATGTCGGATCCTATAGTTCCCACAATGTAACTTAGTACCATCTGTCGTTAGACTGTCCCTGCCAAGAAGATGCCCACATCTTCCATATGCCTCAGTCTCAGTTTGTACAGCAGGTTTTCTGTGATAAATTTGAGGTTGACATTAAATATTCTCCTGAGCCACAGAAAACATTAGATGAGAGTCCGTTTAATTTTTCTAAGCTGCTTCATTTCCACTGTGCATTGCATTGTTGGACAACAGTATCTACCAGTAAGTAAATTGAGTATATAAACTGACATCTTTGATTAATGCCAGCCTTACACCAAACAACTTTTAAAGCAAATCTTGTCGCAGACAATTTCCAGCGTCAGAATAAAAGTGTCTTGTAGAATTTCTAAGATTTGAACATGGAAAACTTCAAATTTTTTAATTTCTTTGGCTGTTTCCACAGCAATCGGGATATCATTTAACTGCAGCTCAAATATCTACTGCGGGAGCCAAGCTGTGTCTGAGTCCGAGGCCCAGGCTGTAACTTACTTTGTAGGAAGTCGGAAGGAGGACTTCCTGTGTTTCCTCACCATCCACTCCTACGGCCAGCTGCTCCTGGTTCCCTATGGACACCCCAACTTCACCGCCACCAACTACGATGAGCTGGTATTTACATCCGCAGACACAGTGCTGCACGTTTATACATTTCTGAGGATGAACATGCACGCACTATAGTTAACATGATATCATATACTGTAGGTCAGAATAAAAAGTGTATGTGCATCTTGATTATCACTGCGTGCTTTTACATTAAAATAGAGAATACTCTATTTTTCGCCATAGAAACTGAGCTTATGCTGATCACGAAAACCCACAAAAAATTTGTTACCAACACATCAACACTCAGGTAAACATGGATGTATTTAAGGTTTTGGATTTAATATTGTTTGTTGGATATACAGCACGTTTGAATGGTACATGGCGAAATGTGCATACAGACCACACACGTGACAGAACAACAGATGTCATTAACACAGTCCAAAAGCGGTCAGTCCTCGTCTGGCAAGACAGAGCAGAACGGAAGGAAGCTGTGAAGCATTGATAGTGGAAAACGACTGGCTGGTTGCTGATAGGAGGGAGGCTGGTGCAGGTAATAACCCACTGGAACCACAAACCAGAGGGAATTATGCAAAACAGGATTATGTCCATTCGTCTCTCTCTCTCTCTGGCTCTAGCATGACTTTAGCTGAGGAAAGTTGGCCTGCCCTCAAATGGCACCTTGTTTCTTTGTCTTGGCAGGATGCAGACTCACATCACACTCTCATGGATGATGTGATGAGGTTTTGGGTTATGAATCTCAAATGAATGAACCTGGCACAGGATTGGTTTACGAACACTGAGACTATGATTAAAGTGAGATCCAACCCTACACATTTATAGAAATGTACAGAAAATGATGTGAATTGTAGTAATTTAACTGATCTTAATACACAAAATACACATTAAAGTTACAGGACATTACCTTTTAAAAAAAGACAAATGTGCTGAATCCAACTCTGTCCTGACAGTCTTGCATCAGACAGATAAACTATGGAAAAAATCAGGTTCCTCTGCCTACTCCTAGTGCTCCTATTTGCATTTGCAAGAAGTAGAAACTAAATTAGCACTAAAATAAAAACAAAATGTGCATTGTGCTACAGTGTTTGACACTAATACTTAAGCTATAAAAATAAAAAATATATATAGTCAGTGTGCTGTTGCTCTAAGTGTGAATATTTAACTACATTATATACAACCGTAGAATAAATTGTCAATAAAGTGCCAATAAATATATTGACAGTTTCAGCAAATATGACAAAGTTATTTTTATGGCTACCTACTGAACCTTTCAACAGTTCAATACTTGTGTTTGTATTTCTAGAAATAAACTGTAGACAACACTGAGTACAGCACTCCTCAAATCTTCATCAAATATATTCCACTATTCTGACTGGGTGCAAAAACGTTTCACACTCCCCCACCACAGTGCCTGTGTTCCATATCAAAGATGACGTCATTCTCATGTGTCTGTGACAGCTGAGCCTAATTTTATTATTTATTAAAATTATGCCAGACGTTAATGTCAACCACATTACCCAGCCATGTGGAGGAAGTGTCAATTCCTGTCTTTAATACTGATGAAGCTCCAGAAATGTGCATTTCCTGCCTTGCTAAACTGCTTCCTGGTGTCTCCTAGTTGCCCAGCACGTGTTACTTCACTCATTACTAGAGAAGACCTGCAGTTTAAAGGTACAGTCAGCTGGTGTAGATGCTTTTACTGACTGTATGACAAAAGCTAATGTCTCCTTCCTCAGATGGAGGTGGGTTTGGGTGCAGCAGACGCCATAAGGAGAGTCCATGGGATGAACTACACAGTAGGAACCTCACCAGATGTCTTGTGTAAGTCTGCACATCACTGCTGGTCACAGATTGATCACTTCTAGCTGTGCTAGCAGCGTGGCCCCAGGGACGAGACAGTAAAATGTGTCCCCATCTTTCCACAGACCCCAACTCTGGTTCATCCAGAGACTGGGCTCGGATGCAGGGGATCCCCCTCTCCTTCACCTTTGAGCTCAGAGATAAAGGGGAGTTCGGCTTCAAGCTTCCCGAGAATCAGATCCAGCCGGCCTGTGAGGAGGCCTACAGCGGAGCCCTGCATATCATCACCTACGCCCACGACAAGACCTTTAGTGGTGCCGTGGCAACCGCTGCTGCAACCCTTTGGACCATGCTGTTAGCAGCGTGTGTCACCGGCACCAACCTGATGTGAAGTGGAGGAAACTGCATGAGGGAAACTCACCAAAACAACCCTCCTTTTAGGCAGGCTGTTTTGTTGATAAATTCCGATCAGATGTATCTCTTGATAAATAATGATGCGTCCATTATGAAACTGTAAAGTGTCTTTGAATGATCCGAAATGTTTATATCTGCTCATAAACTTCCATGAATGTCATATTGCAGGCAATGGTTGATAAATTTGAATTATTCGTCTATTTTTTTATCAATATCATGGCAAAATATAACATTATGTGGCAAGAGTGGAAAAATAAGAATAAAATCTTTAAATATGTCCTATTTTTCTTGTGTTGGTGTGTCTTTAAAACATTTGTGAAACCAATTCTCCCATCCAAATTGCATTTTATTTGTTTCATCAGAGGTTGAGTTTTGAGGAGGTATGTCTATTTTATCATATAAAAGTTTCCTGATATAACAGTCCGTTTCAAAGTTCAGTTTCAGTGCTTGTGTTTGTGTTCCTGAATGGCTGGAAGCCTTGTTGTCTCAGACAGGCTAGCGGCAAGAAGAGCTGCTCCTCTGGAGGAAACTGGTCCCACCGCGTCCACGTCCACCCTGTTGGGGAAAGAACCACACATATCATCAACTCTCAGGTGGGTGGATATATTTTTTTAAATGTTAAACTTGTGAAAAATATTAGCTCCACTTAACATACCCTCGTTCTTCTCTGGCTCCAGGTTCTCCGGCTCTCCTGACTGCTCCCTGTCCAGCTCCCCTTGCATGATTATGGTGACATAGTGGTACTGCTCCTCCAGTCTGATGGAGTTCACCACTGACGCAAAGCACACGTTGAACAAACGCACCCCTGCTTCCTCCAGCACCTCTCTGTGAGCACACTCCTCCCACGTCTCTCTTTCAGTGACATAGAAACAAGTGTCACATCCACTGCAAGTCATCATATGCATGTCACGTCATCATACACTAGGCTATACTTAAGTTAGATCGCTACTTTGAGATGACTGTCTTAAATGAGGGATCTAAACATGATTACAAAGCCTCACTACCTTACACCAAAACCCATTTGAAATATAACAAATTAATATGTGTGCACGGTTGCTTGGCAGGCGCGTGCAATCATGAAAATTAAGAACATGCCTTAATATTTGCTGAACACTAAGGAGAATTCGGCACAACAATAACTGGATAAGAAGTTTTTATTTCAGTGCAATTCCTCTGCTAATGACAGACAACGCATCATAGTGACTGGAGTTAAGTGTTTCGTTAGGGGATGTTTGCCGAGTTAAATGAATGAAGGACGGTGCTGAATATTTATAAACACCCATGCTTGCGTCACACACTGTCAGATTTGTGAATGGGCTAGCTGCTGAGGTTACCTACCCAAACTCCAAGTGGCCACCGGGGAGCTGGTACGTCCCTCTGCCCATCGCGCTTCTCCGCTTCCCCAGGAGAACACACCCTGGGTGGGCTGAGTCTGTCACCAGCACCCCGACCCCAACTCCTGGACGTTTCACGGTTTTATTTGACATGTGGTCAAACTTAAAGACGACACATAAATGAAACAGAGTTAGCTAAACAGACCTAGCATAACCGGACAGTGATACGCTGAGGAGTAGCGGGAGGTACAAGATACTGCACGTGTGTATACTTCTGTCTTCGCTTTTAACGTGTTTTGGAGACTTGACCCTCCGTTGTTGCCTTAGCTTCGGCACATTAACTTCTCTCATGTTGGATGGCAACACTATTATGGTATATATGGAATAAGAAACCAACATACCACATTATATCGTCACAATTGTTTATTTGGTGGCTTATTTTGAATTGGTTGTGCACAAGGAACTCTCTTGACAATTAAATACTCTTTGGCTGCTTGGTGCTTCAGCGGTATGAACCAGCCAGGGATACCTAACTTGCTTCCCCCGGGGGACACTTTTGTGAAAATTACAGGAGCCCAGGGGCCAGTTAATAAATAAACCTAAAAAACAATTTTCAGATCAAATAAAATAAATGAGACAAATCCAGTTGCAGCAGGTGTATACAGGAGCGTCTTTTGGATTTGGGGACATTCAGGGCCTAGTCCGGACCTCTGTCAGCTGAGGGATCCTCTCCTAGCACTTTTTTTTTTAAGGAAAGGAACAACCTCTATTACATAATGGACAATACATTCACTGAAAAGTATCATTTGCAGCTACTAAACATAGGAGTAACACTGCCACCTAGTGACGATATGCGCTAAGTGTATATTCTAGACCTACGGGGGTATTACAATCACTTAACTGGAGGAACTCAGTTAATCACTGCTTTTAGCTCACTTAGATTTGAGATATATAGGTCTTTGTTAAAAATTAGGCAGTGACACCCAGTAAGCATTCCTCAGTTTCTGCATAGTCCTTCAGATAAAGCTCTATTCACAATTAAGTGTTGCAGCTAAAGTTTTTGTGACACACACTTATTGAACACATTTCAGTTGACAATAAAATTGGTCATCTAACTAGAAAGAAAAGAATGCAGGGAGTGCAATCTGTTGCTGACACACTCACTGTTCCACCTCACAGCAGTCAAGGCCCAATAAGATAAGACACACACACACACACACATACAGCAGTCAAGGCCCAAAGAGATAAGATCAGCCAATATTTCACAAACAGTAAAAAGTTAGTCCATGATTTGAATTCTAATTTGAGCTGCATTACTGTGTTCCTCTATTCCATTAATCATCTCACAACTCCACAGATTTACCTTGTGACTCCTCAGGGAGCCCAACCCATAGACTGTATATAAAGTAGTCAACACTAACCCCACCTCGACCAGCTACAACACCATGCAGCAGTATTAACAGTCTAGTAATGTCACATGAACAGCAGCAGATCTTACTATAGGTGACAAAGGCACCTCTTGTCAATTTTAAATGCTGAACTTTTACTTGTAATGGAGTTTTCTTCAATGTGATATTGGTAAAGGATCTGAATACTGAATACACCACTGGTTTGGTGTAAAGATCCATCCATTCACACCTTTACTCTCCTGGCACTTAACAGTTTTCCACCGACACCCGTTTTCCCCGCTAGACCTGCCTGGTGGCTCTGGCCCCGCCCCGCTCACCTCTCCCTGCTCTCACCTGAGAGGCAGCTTCTTCTTCCTGTCAGTCCAGGTAAAACCTCCCTCTGTACATCTCTGAATCTTTCTTTCTCCTTAGACATCTCTGAGTGTCAGACCAGCTTACCATCTCTCTATTCTCTATTCTCTCAGGTTCTTCTTTCTGTTGTGTCTGACAGTGTCAGCATGAGTGCTTCACTGTGGACAGAGGAGCAGTTTAACTGCCCTGTGTGTCTGGATCTCCCAAATGATCCAGTCACCATCCCCTGTGGGCACAGCTACTGCATGGCCTGCATCAAGGACTACTGGAGCAAGGACGACCCTAAGGGGGTTTACAGCTGCCCCCAGTGCCGCCAGACCTTCTGCCCCAAGCCCTCCTTGTCCAGGAACACCATGCTGGCTGAGGCTGTTGAGCAGCTACGCAAAGGGGCCCGTAAAGCTGACGTGCGTGAATCTATGAGAAGCGCCCGTGGGGGTGCCTCCTCCTCATCCAGGCCCAAAAAGAAGCTCTCCTCCTCAGCAGTGCCGTGCGACATGTGCAAAGGAGAACAGCGAGCAGCAATCAAGAGCTGCCTGGTGTGTATGAGCTCATACTGCGAAGCCCACTTAAAGCCCCACCAGACGAAGAAGAGCCTGAAGCAGCATGAGCTAATTGCACCAACAAGCAATCTGGCTGAGAAGATCTGCACCCAGCACAAGTACCTGCAGGAGTTTTACTGTCGCCAGTGTAAAATGTTCGTCTGCTGGCTGTGCACCAGCAACCAGCACAAAGGCCATGAGTGTGTGTCCACCAAGGCTGAGCGTGTGGAGAAACAGGTAAGAATGGATGCTACACTGACCTCAGGCATCAGAGGAGAAAGAAGAGGGGCCCTCAACTAGTTATCATGTTTACTGTCATGTGATCCTATATCAAACTCAAGTGTGTGTGTGTGTGTGTGTGTATGTGTGATAGGTTAGGTACAATCCTTTTTTAATAAGTGGTGTGATTGAAAACCGATCAGGAAACATGCAGTTTCATTAATTTAAAAAAAACCCCCATCTTAAACAGAAAGTGGGCAGCTGTTTATAGAATAGGTGACTGTTAGTTCCATGAACAGTGTATTACTCCTCCTGCTACCTGTCCATTGTTCTGTGTGATGGGTTTCTGTGTGTGTGTGTGTGTGTGAGGGTGTCGTCCCATCTCCTTTTGTGCCTCACTGTGACTCCAGCCAGGCTGAGGACATTCCTAACTACATTCCTATCCATTCATAACGCTCCACCCTCTCCATGTTGTCACATGAACACAACTGTTTCCTCGTGCTTGTGTGAGATAGATGGGGACTGTGTTGATGTCATGTCTTTGTGTATCCTGTTACAGAAAGTGATGTCCGAGATGCAGGTGGAGAATCAGCAGAGGCTGAAAGACAGAGAGCAGGAGCTGAAAGACATGAAGAAGATGATGGATGTGATGAAGGTTGGTTGGTTGCACTGATTTTGCAAGTGCACTGTTTCTCAAAGTTAAAACCACATTTCCCATAAACCCTGCAATAATTTCACAGTTACTTACTGTATGTGTGTTTTGGCATACTGAGACATGATCGCCCTGTTGTCTCTGCCAGCGTTCCTCAGACAGGGTGCATGACGACATGGAGCAGGTGCTGTTGGAGCTGCAGCGCTCGGTGGAGCGTCTGCAGGACCTGCTGGAGGAGGTGCTGGATCAGGCCAGCCTGGAGAAGATGGGCCAGGCTCAGGAGGTCATTGACAGCCTGGAGGCCGAGATCAAGGAGCTGAAGAAGAGGGAGACTGAGATGAAAGACCTGGTGCGCTGTGAGGACAACATCCACTACCTGGAGGTAGGCTGGATCAAGGATGTGTTAGACTCAGCTATAGACTGTAAGTTTGCCCTTAACTAACCACCATATTTTCCCTCAGACATACGAGTCCATGTGTAGTCCTCTGGAGTGTGGGGACCTGCCCACTGTGGTGGTCAATCCAGAAGCTTCCTTTGAACCTGCACGAGACGCCATCCTGGACCTCAGGGAATGAGTCGAGGACCTGTGCAACCAGGAGCTGGGCAAGATCACCAAGCAAGGTCCATCCCAAGTTTCATATCTTGTTTTGTCCTATATTCTTTGCTTTTTATGTCTTATCTTCATCTTATCGTCTGTTCTCTTCCAGTCAATGACATGACTCTGTTCACGTTGGGAGACTGTAAGTTCCAAGCATTTTTCTTATCAACATGACCATAACAAAAGTTGGAGTTGTGTCTTGCTTGACATTAACTTCCTCATATCTTATCTAGCCAGCCGGAGCGGAGGACAGAAAGGAGGGATTTTTAAATGTGAGTTCTTACTTTGTAAAATAAATATATTAAAGGACTAGAGAAAGTCATTATTCCAGAAATTTAATATCTGATTTCCCATTTTTCTGTAGTGTTTTCTGGTCTGGGTTCTCGTAACACAAACAGCCGTCCGTCAGGTCTGTCCACGGTTTTTAAGTCCACATTTTACCTACCATCACTGCATCTTTTCACTGTCATCTTCCTCACATATAGTCGTAACGTATACGTGATTTCTGTCGTGTCTCACAGCTTCCACACCCAGTATCTCAGTCGGATCTCGGAGTACAGACAGACGAGGAATTGGTAATACACACTAACGTTCATTATAATATATGTGACAACGTCAAAAGTCATTCAAAATGCAGTCCTTGTTTAACGTCACATTTTATTATTCAGGTACAGGCCTAAGAAGTCAAGATGTGAGGAGCAGAGACACACCACGAGGTGAGGCTGTGTGTGTGCTGTCCAAAACCCCCTGATTTAACCTTAAACCTGCAGCGTGAGTCACCATGGAGGGTGGAGCAGTAAAAATGTGTGTGAATGTTTTAAAATAAGCTTCTTCATCTTTGTAGCGGACAGAGGCCACGCAAGCTCACCGAGACCACGGGAAAGACAGAGGAGAGAGGAAAGAGAAACAGGTAGGTTCATTCACCTCAATTCGACCTACAAGGTCGCATCGGCTCTGATTTAAAAAAAAAAAAAAAAAAACAGACTTCCTCATGATGATGTGGCTGTTACTTCCTACTGCTAGATGTAGTTCTGTCAGTACCTCATATTCCAGAAGTAAAGAAGACAGTTTGTCCTCAGCTGCTCAGCAGTTTTTTGGATAAGTAACTGATGTATTTGGTAAGCTGGAAACCGTAATCTAGCATCTGATATATTCTCCAAACAGTGAGGGAGAGCAACCCCAGACCCAGCCCGAGACCCAGCCCCACTCCCAGCCGCAGAGAGTCTCAGTCTCTTTGGAGCAGGTCCAGTCAGAGCCAGGCTATCCCTGCTGCGGCCCCGACCCCGACTCCAATCCAAGTCAACCCAACTCCTGCCCCAGCCCCTGCCCCAGCTCCTGCTCCTGCTCCTACTCCTGCACCAGCATCAACTGGAGGTACAATTACAACCTTTTGACTAAAGACAAAAACTTGTACTGTTCAGCTTTGACAATAAATGCTCACATCAAAGTGTAACACCTTTTGTTTTCAATCTCCCTCCTCTCTCCTCCTGGTTCAGGGTCAGGTTTCAGTCGGATGGCGTCGATTAGCAGCCTCTTCCGCTCCCATCGCCGTGGCACCACCCCGGCTACCCCAGTCAATAACTCACCCGCACCAGGAGGAAACCAATGTAAGATCAAACTCTCATACTCTCCTCTTTAATTTAAACGATTTAAAGGGACAACCCATCCCAATATCAAAATATTTTCCTCTTACCTGTTGTGCTGTTTATCAGAGTAGATTGTTTTGGTGTGAGTTGCCAAGTGTTGGAGATAATGATAATGATAATGTTTCAGAGTGTCTAAATGTGTGACTTGTGTACACTTACACAGGGGGGATGGCTTCTCTGCCTGAAACACCAACAGAAAGTAAGATGGCAGTCTTTATACTCTATATGTCAAATAATCATTTTCTTCTTTTCACTTGAACATGGGTTAGTATGTGTCTAACATTGTATTTTCATTGAATAGTTAACCCTGGTCTCTTCTTGGACTTGCCCACCCCGACCACCATGAATCACTCTCCTGCTTTCCCTGGATGTGAGTTAATGTACCTTCATCTTCATGCCACCTCCATTTTGAGACATGAATGAAAGTGATGCATGCAATAAGAATGTTTTGGGGTTTTTTTCCAGTGAGAGAGATCAACATTGACAGCATCCAGGCCCCAGAGCCGAGGACCAGAGAGGAGTTCCTACAGAGTGAGTCTCAGTGTTTAACTTCATCTAAGATGCTGCAGATATTGATGAAAATGTTAACTCCAAAAAACATAAAACGTATCACTTCCGGTATAGAACAGGATGTTTCTTAAAAATACCTAACATACAGTAGGTGTAAAACACACAAAGTTCAGTACTCTGACGAGAACAATCTCAACTCAAGGTCCAATTAGTGGCTTTTTCAGCACCTTTAATCATATCACATGGTCTTCATCAGCAGACAAGTTTGCTTAGTCGTCATAGAGATGGATCTGTGGACATGCGACCTCATGATCTATTGTGATTTCATCCCCAGAGGTTTTAGGACTTTTTTGTTTGTGCTGGCATTAAAAATGTAGTGTGCAAAACAATCCCAACTCAAGGTCCCCTTGCTAGTATTTTTTCTGGGACTTTAAACTGTAGAACATGGTGTTCATCAACTTTTAAACCAACATGGACGAGATGTTCTAAAAGCACCATGGATAATACAGCAAAACAGCTACTGTGTTAGCTGGTGAACAGATCTGTCTCCATAACAACTGAGCACACTCCATGTGCTGATGAAGACCATGTTACAAAAAGCTTTAAAGAATTTTCTTTATTTTCCAGAACATGTGAATAATTGTCCATTAACCCTCTAGACTCTGTGACCCTGACTCTTGATCCCAACACGGCCCACCGACGGCTGACTCTCTCCGACGGCAACACTAAAGCCACCCTGCAGGCGGCGGTGCAGCCCTACCCTGACATTCCCCAGCGTTTTGATGGCTGGACCCAGGTGATGTGTGCGAGCCCACTGTACGCCCAGCGCTGTTACTGGGAGGTGGAATGGAGAGGCCGGGGCTCCTCTATGGGTGTAGCCTATGGTGCATTGACCAGGAAGGGCTCAGACGCCCGGTCTGGGCTTGGCTACAATGCCCAATCCTGGACTTTGGAGCTGTCGGACACCTGCTGCTCAGCTATGCATGACAACGAGAAGAAGGACATACCGGTAACCTACTCCCCTCGCCTGGGTATCTACCTGGACCTGTCCGTGGGCACGCTGTCATTTTACAGCGTAGCAGAGAGCATGACACACCTTCACACCTTCCGTGCTAACTTCACCCAGCCGCTTTATGCTGCGTTTGGGGTGGGCAGTGGAGTCGGGGTGGGTCTGGACTTCGCCCTCGGCCAGTTCAGCTCCAGCTCTGACAGCATCAAGATTTGTCCCATGTGAGGGTGGCAGCTGAATAACGCTACATTAAATGGTGATCTTGATATATTTCAACCCGGACCCTATGATCTCATGTTTTGGGATCTAAGTAACAAATAAAGACAAGAATTTTGAAATGGTACAGCAGCCATGAAACAGGCTGCAATGTGACCATTTGGGTTTGACACCGACATGCTCAGATTATTATTTTAAGTGCCTGACAACATTATGGAACAGTTCCCTACAAAGATAGACCTTAATGTTTAACCAGAAACAGCCCCAAAATCATTATAACCAGGGCCACCACACTCCATTTATATAAACAGAAAATATTAACATGGTAACACACACTTTGGTCAAAGTTCACAGATGCAAAATAAAACTCACAGAAGCCATCTTGGGTTTGTCTTTCCACTGTTCCATCAATCACCATCTCTGGTTTGGGTGAAATAAGCCCTTAATTCACCCAGTTAGACGTGAAACGATGCTGGCTGTATACATGCTTAAATTACATCTTATGTAAATGAAGTCTGGTGGAATTGTCTATGGTGATTTGGGGGCTGTATCTGGTTAAACAAAAAGGATCTCACTCTGCCTCAATACTGGACCGATTTCAAAAACTACTTCAATACCATCAGACAACTGATACAGCAGCTTGGAAGTGCTCATGCTGATTTAAATCTCAGGACACAATGACTGAAAGATTCTGTAAAGTTTGCTTACACCTGATTTTTTTAAAAATATATTTTAAATGCACTTAGTGAGCAAGGTTTTTGTCTATAGCCATGGCTCTCTGGATTGCAATATCAGTGTGTTGGTTGGTCCATTACTTTGGTCCAGATAGAAATATCTCAACAGCAACAGCATTCCCAAAATTTTATAATGAGTAGCAGTAAACCAGTCAGTGACTTTGTTTCCATTGCTTTATTTTAAAAAAGAGGCAACTGAGTAATAGCCATGAGTAGTTTACAGAGGATCATGATCTTGGAGGGGAGGCAAGAAGTCATCACAGGACATTTTGTATTTTAGCCAAAAAAAGACCCAAACCCAAACCTCCTGCTGTACTGGAAAATATGACAACTACAACAAATCTAAAGATATGAACAGTCTGCATGTGCCTTCTTTCCTCTTCTCTCCACTCCGACAAACATTACACAGAAGCTTCATTTGTTAAATATGTTATAGCTAATTAACACAAAATGCATCATACAGTACACACGTTTATTCCTTTACTTGATTAATTTGGATTCCCTTCTGTGGGCCTCTACATTTGGAAAACAAAAAAATAATGCTGCATATATTAAAAGCTTATGTCAAAATGTTAGCTGGCGTTGTTACAGCAGGCACACATAATGCTAAATGTTCTCTTTAATATGTTAGAATCTGTATACTTCAGATATCTGTGTCGCTAAATAAAAGTTAAATAAAAAAGCGCAGTAGGTTAGTGGGAGGGTCTGCTTGGACTGACGGATGTTAGGGACAACAGCACTCAATTAATTTGGATAAGCTTTCCTAAAGGAACACTTCCACCTGCTGGCCAGTGTGTGAACCACATACGTCAACCCCGAGACACATTTTGAACACAGAAAACAACCACATGTGCACATATGCATGTGACATACCACTAAAATAATGTGTCAGTGGCTTTTCCCTCTGAACCCGTACATCCCACAGGCCTGAGACAAGGAAACTGAAATGATAAGATGTTCTTTTAAGGGCCTACCAAGACCACGGTGAAATGTTTTTGACCAAGCAGTGATCCTTAAATTAACCAACCTCCAAATCCAAATGAGTGCAACTTATATATACAAACATGGCTTCACATGAACATAAATCATTAACAGTGCTGGCTTCCACGTAAGGCCTCATAAAAACACACAAAACACAAGGACCTGAAGGAAAAAGGCAGACCCATTTTTTCTTGCCCAGTGGCTTCAGCCTGGCCCCACCTGTCTGCTGACAGGTGCATGCTGGGACCTGCAGGCAAGGTTGACAAGTCATGCGGACGCTTGCGAGAGGCGGGAACAGGGGCACGGCACATGGACGGTCACCAGACACCCGTGCAACAATGGACTACTGTCAAATCATTCGAATAATAATACTGGCATGTTAATGGCACGGTCTGACTACGAGATTAGCTTGACAGTGTGCTATTATGCCAGCTAGCACTTCAAGTCCTCAAGTTATAAAAGCATGTTGAATCCTTTCTCTTGTGACTGTTTTTATTTGAAGATAAAACCATTTGTTGTATAATGGGCATGGCAGGCGAGCATGATACTACTTTATTACAGACTAAAGCTTTTAAAACCCACTACAGAACAAGCCCTTGGAATAGCAACGCTGGATGCTCAGTCATTCTCTCTTTGCCTTTTACTTACGTTCTCTTCTTTATAAAACCCACGTCCTCCATTCCTTCTACACCTTTATCTTAACTCCTTCTTTTCCAATCCACGTCCACAAACCATCATTCACTTTCTTGTTACCTACCTACCTACCTACCTCTACCTTATCATCCAGAGCCTAACATGACAACTACAGAACCTAATTAATGACTGAGAAGGCAGCGAGAGCTGAATAACCCAGTCAGAGACAGACTAAGGCCTCAGCAACTAGCATCATGGCAAACATCTACACACACAGACACTGCGGTATAGCTAAAAACAGTCAGTTAAGTTCAATTGTGCTTTAAAATGAAGTCATAAAAAGGAGGGATTGTTCTGCCCGCCAGATGCCCTGACTCCTCTCTTCAAAGGCTGAGAGGAGGAGAGAGGAAAAGGTGGGTGGAGGTATAAAGGAGGGGTTCGTTCTGGAGTTTGCACCCTCCCACTCCATCCTCCTTTTCCCCCTCAATGTTTGGTTGTACTTGACGGGACATGGGAGACAGAGGCAAGTTTCCGGCGCCGCTCTTTGGGGTTTCCCCAGGGTGTTGGGGGGAGGGCCAGGGAGGTGGGGTGAGGAGGAGGGTGACCAGCTGACTTCCCTGCTCGGGCGCCGATCATGGCCGGGAGGCTCTGGTTGCGCCTCAGGCCATCCAACAGACTTCCCCCGCCAGCTGACACAAACGTAGAAGAATCCTGCCATGGTGCTGGAGCCTCAGACTCTGCACCCTGGAGCACCTTGGTGAATCCAAGACGCCGTAGCCTCTCCACTAGGCCGACGCTGACTGGGTCAGACCTTACTCTGCTTGACTTAGGGGCTGGGACAAAAGCTGGGGTTTCCTGGGAGGGGCTTGGTAAGTCGGGATGTGGGGCACGGCCTAGATTTAATCCGTAAACGTCCTGGAGAAAAAGCTCCGCTGGCCGCGATGCTAGGAAATTGTCAGCCGGGTGCTGGCGGGACTCGGGGGGCACCGGGGAGGGAACAGGTGAGTGGGAGGGTGAGTTAGGGGGCGTGCTTGGGAGGAGGTGGAAGAGAGGTTGCCTGGGTGTGGGCTTTGGAGATGGAGGGGGGGTGTCAGTGGAGACTTGTGCAGAAATGCCCCTCTCCAGGACCAGCTTGGCCAGGCCACTGGTGGCCACAGGAGGGCGTCGAGGGGGAAAGGAGTCACCCAGACTCAGTCTGCAGGGAGTCACAGGAGTGCTGGGACCGGTCCTCATGGAGCTGGGTGTGTTGGCCAGAGACGACCGAGAACTAAAAAACATGAAGAGACAGAGATAAGGTGAGAAGAGAGACGTGCCCTTTGTAAGACGCCATATTCTTTGCCCTTCATCTTCTAAAAATAAAAAATACAGATACATAAATGTTCTCTTTATCCTTTGCAGAGCACTGACCTTGGGGTGACCTGTGTGGTGTCACTGGGGTGCAGGATGCGGCATGTGGTGAAGGTGTAGGTGGAGAAAGTGGAGCTCTGACACTTTCCTGGATTTTGGACTGAACACACAACAAATCACGTAATGTGAAACACTTACCATCATGGCAACAATTAGCAGCAATGTGCTTAACATTCCTCATTAAATTTTATTGCTCCCTTCTATAAAGTATTTACCAGAGGAAGATGTTGTTGATGTCGACATGCAGATTTGACTTTGTGATTGGACCACTGACGTACAGGCTGTTGGAATGGGCTGAGATGATACGCTGGATTTCTCAGGGATGTGTCGGGGTGCGGGGGTCAGACAGAGGTCCGATCTAACTGATGAGGAAGTGGCGGGCGTCCCAGGTGATGGCGGCATTGCGGGTGACGGAGGCGGGACAGGGAGAGGTGTCACCGAATGCTTTCTGTCTTTCCTCTCCTCTGGCGTAGATGAACAGCGCACCTTGAAGGTGATCCCGCCATCCTCTTCCTCATCCTCCTCTTCCTTACCCCGCTCTGCCGCCCCCTTCTCCAAGGCACCTCTGTGCTCTTCATCCTCCTCGTCCTCCTCCATGTCAGACAGGCGGTAGACGGCGTCGTGGGCCAGTGGGCAGAAACCTTTGGTCACTACTCCAGGGTGGGGGTCCAAGATGGTGGCGAGGTGTGGTTTGGCCAGCTGCTGCCAGTGATGGAGCGTCAGTGAACCTGGAAAGGAAAAGTTACGTTGATGCACCAGGAAAAAAATGTGTTTTATGTGAATATTTGCTGGTTTTCTTATAACTGAACATTTACCTTCCATTGGTTTGACGATCTGAAGCTTCTCAGGCAGGAAGGTCTTAAAAACGCTGGAGCTGAAGGAGAGCTCTGACAGGTTGGAGAAAGAGGAGAGCACGCTGCCCATCGGTGAGCTGCAGCAGCTGCCTTCCCTGTCTCCCTCCGTCCCTGCCAAGGCCTGAAGCTTCCTCTCGCGCTCTGCCTGGAAGAACTGACGCTCGCACAGGAAGTTTTGCCGTCGCAGTGACAGCCGGTGGAGCGCTCTTGTGAGGTCATTTCCTCCTGGACAGCCGGGCTGGCCCATTCGCACCTCCTCCCTGCATACACACACATTTATTGAGCCGAAAAGGCAAAAAGTCGTCCTCGAGTGAAACTGCAAGACAGCAATAGTTGTAACATACCCCTGAGTGGATGTGAAGGGCTGTGCAGTCATCACTAAAGAGCTCTGCCCTGAGCCGGGGATAGGAGGAGTGGCCGAGGCTGGCCGCGATGTTGAGGCGTTGATGGAGCGGACCGTTTGGAAGACTCGCTTCTGGGATACTCTACAGGAAGAAGAGGTCAGAGGTTAGAGACGAGGTCCACAAACTGACGAGATACTGTAGACTACTGAACCTGAAGTTACTGAGTGCAGCAGTTATGTCCATGAGCTTCATTTTAATCAGTCCAAAAAACTAGTGATAGAAATAAATGTGAATTATTGGACCTTGTGCTTGAAGTGCCCATCAGTAGTGAAGTCTGACTGTCTGACCTTTGGTCCCTGAAGGCGGTCTCCTCCTCTACACTCAGCTCTCTCCTCATGGTGCCTTCGATTTCTGCTGCCAGAGAGTCCTGTACACACAGTTTTGTTTTGGTGGTTTTGGCTTTGGTGCATTTTATACCTTTATGTTACGAGTGTGTTGGGATTATCCCGAGTGTTTCTCTCACCATGGGGTAGAGGCCGTAGGAAAGGTGCCGTCGCATCCCAGCAGAGGGAGTGTTTTTACTGCGGAGTTCTTTGATCTCCTCCTGGGACTCATGGAGCATCTCTACGCACTCTGCATTCCTGTCCGCCAACTCGTCCAGCTGCAGCACACACACACACACACACACACACACAAACACACACGGGCAGTGGTTAGTTAAATGACTTTGTTTTTATATGCAGCAATTACTTAAGCAAAGGAAAGTCTTTAATAGATTTTTAAATTAGGCGTGCACTCAGACTGTAAATGTATCATTTAATTCGTCAATTGCCTATTACTGGATTTACTAAATTAACATAATTACTAATTTTTAGTTTATTTTAACCATGATTTAAATGAGGCAATTAAACTATAAAAATGGAATTAGATTACTCTTTTAATGATTTCATTTTTCTTTCTATTTAAGAAACAGTGTCATGGTTTGTTACAGCTACGGCATGTTAACCCTAAACATCTGGGATTTAGCTTTACAGTTCAAATAAAACTGGTCCAGTTCAGGAGTCCTTTCATACATAAACAGAGAACACTTCCTGTGAGTGAGTGAGTGAGTGAGTGAGTGAGATTGTACCTCTGCTGTGAGTTGTCTCTGAGCTTCTTTAGACGCCTGCAGGTGGATCCTCAGCTCCTCTTTCTCCAGAGCCAACTGCACACACACAACACATCAGCATTTAAACAGATGAGAGGAGAGAAGAAGAGATGACGGCCACTGATCGGGGGATGTCATTGTTTAGAACATCAAAAGTAGGTCGGAAGTCAAGTCCCAAGTCAAGACTAAGACTCAAATCAAGACCACCATGTGCCAAGTCAAGAGCACCAGGTGCCATGTGAGGACCACTAATTACCAAATCAAGAGCACCAGATCCCAGTTCAAGACCACCAAGTCCCAAGTCAAGACCACTAAGTTTCAAGTCAAGACCACCAAGTCCCAAGTCAAGACCACTAAGTTTCAAGTCAAGCCCACCAGGTCCTGAGTCAAGACCATCAAGTTTTAAGTCACGTCCCAAGTCAAGAACTCTGAGCCCCAAGTCAAGACCACCAAGAATCAAGTCAAGACCACCAGGTGCTATGTCAGGACCACTAATTACCAAGTCAAGACCATCAGGTTTTTAGTCACATCCAAGTCAAGACCACCAGGTGCTATGTCAGGACCACTAATTACCAAGTCAAGACCATCAGGTTTTTAGTCACGTCCAAGTCAAGACCACCAGGTACTATGTCAGGACCACTAATCACCAAGTCAAGACCACCACACCACAAAGACCCAAGTCAAGACCACCAGGTCCCAAGTCAAGAACACCAGGTCCCAAGTCAAGACCACCAAGTTCCAAGTCAAGACCAGAAAGACCCAAGTCAAGAACACCAGGGGCTAACTCAAGAGGACCAAGAACCAAGTCAAGAACAGTAGATGCCATGTCAAGACAACTAATTACCAAGTCAAGAGCCCCAAGACCCATGTCAAGACCACCAGGTCCCAGTTCAAGACCACCAAGTCAAGACCACAAAATCCCAAATCAAGACTACCAAGTTTCAAGTCAAGACCGCCAGGTCCCAAGTCAAGACCACAAAAACCCAAGTCACGTCTGTGTTCCAAACCTTAACAAATCATGATTAGGGTTAATAAGCGACTGTTAATAAGTTAATAAGTCACTGTTGTTAATGCTGAGTTGAAAGTCTTTGTCTCCTCACCTCCTTCACTCTGTGTTGCAGCTCTACAATCTGAGAGAGCAGCTGAGCGATTTCCTCCTGGTGTCTGAGCAGCTCCTCGTTCTTCTGAGACAGCTCATCTGTCAGAGACACCATCTGGCTATTGGACTCACCTGGAACCAACACACACACAGAGACCACAGGTAAAATCAGCATCCCAGACATGAGACTGGGTCTTTTAGTGTAAATGTGTGTGAATCTCACTCACGGAGCTCCTTGACACAGTCATTCACTAGCTGCTGCTCCTTCTCCTCATAGGTGATGGTGTCAGTCTTCAGTTGACATGCCTGGAGTGGAGACGTTGAGAGGAACCAGTGAGTACTTCCACCATCATATTCATAATAATTCATGCTGTCAAAAGCAATAATTACACCAACTTCTCAAAATGTGGTTATGATTTAAAGCTTCCCCTTTCACTTCTTATTATCTTCTACCTCCACTAAAACCTCATCCATCCTGTTACACCTCGTACCTCAGACCTCAGCAACAGATTCTCCTCCTCCAGCTCCTGCAGCTTGTTCTGCAGAGACTCCAGCTGGCTGAGTGCTGCAGCGGCAGTGGTTCCCCCTGGTGTCTGAGGCTGCCGCAGCGGCGTGGACACACTGGAGTCTGTCTCACTCTCCTCTGAGGCGCTGGCCACGATCCGCAACAACTCGTCCTTCTTACTGAGCTCATGCTGCAGCTGGTGAACCTGGCCAATGATGAAGGTGTGGGTGAGTGATTACTGTGTGAGATGTTCAGAAATCTGCAGATTCCTGATATTCATACGGGTTCAGAGAGACACAATTTCATTGGTTGCTTTTTTGATTTTAAGTGCACTGATATCCCTCATAATTGTAACACCTTTTAGCTCCACTTGGATTAGCAAACTATTGCAATTTTAACACAAGCATGTAACTAGCATGTAGCTACCTGGTCCAGGGCCTGTGCTAGCTGCTCCTCCAAGGCCTCATTGCGTTCCTGCAGCAGGTGGTTCCTCTGAAGGAGTGACTGTCCAATCCGAGCTGCCAGCTCCAAGTCTCTGTCCCGCTGTCCAGTAAGAGCACAGAGCACACACCAGCAAAGTAGATGCTGCATCTTAAAGGGTGACTTTGGTATTTTTTATCCTGGACCTGGACAGTTTTTTAAATTAGTCCAGTACTGAGTGAGAGCTGTGCAGCCAGCACTAGCAAAACAGGCTTTCCACTTGGGAAAAGTGCTTATTTTTGCCACTGACAGGCTCAGGTTATAATTTGAAGTGTCTGACATTATGGAGAGGATCCCTATAGTGATAGACTTTTTTTGTCAAAGATCCTTTTTGTTTAACCAGAAACAGCCCAAAAATTGTCACCAAAAGCCACCAAACTCCAAACTTCTATTGACTTTGAATGGAGTGCGTTTTTTACGATGATGAAATTACTATTTATTTAAATGGATTCAAAGGATCATACCCTTGAACAAAAAGGTCTATCTCTGTGAGGATCTTTTCCGTAATATTGTCAGACATTTATAATATTAATATGAGCCTATCAGTGGCAAAACCAATCACTTGTAGTTGACATAAATTGACAGTATGTGCAGGCCTCCAGTGGTTACATTGCAGCCTGTTTTGTGGCTGCTGGCTGCAGTGGTCTCTCTCAATACTGGACATTGTTGTTACCAATAGTCACTTAGACACAGAAACAATAGTCCAGGTAGAAAAATACTGAAATTACTTTAATACAAAACAAATTGTTACAAGTGTGTTTATACCCACCTCAGCCAAAAGGTGTGAGACCACTTCGATATCATTGTAAGTCTTGGCCATCTGCTCCACACGATCAGCACTGAGGACTGGCAAGAGAAAAAAAATACTTTTAGGAGATACACAAGCAATCACACCCACACACACACACACACACACACACACACACACACACACACACACACGCAATATAGTCTGCAATTTGTGGCATGTGCATGCAAACACACAATCTTTAATGTAAAAAACAAATAAAACCACCACATCACTCCACACCAACAGACACACCTCTGTTGCATGTCATGTTTACTAACTACCCAATACAATAACCACAAGCAACATTAGCAGCCACTTCCTCTGAATCTTTACTGTAATCACACTGTAGCAGCCAATCGTGAACAAATGTGGTTAAAATATAAGTCACTTTTGACACTGATCCCATTTGGTGATATAGCTCCACAACATGGCAATGTGGTTGCTCGTGGTCTGAATGTGATGAAGTAACAACAGCACTGAACGCACACTAGGGATGGGACGATACATGATTTTATCATGGATTGCAATAAAAAACAAAATAAGTTAATGGCATATTTTAATTATTGGGATCATTATCGTCCCTTACCTAATGCACACACACTACATAGTGCTACAGTACTACAAGCTGTCTACAGTGGCAGATGACCTATACTATTCAAATCTCATCTGCTCTCATCTACATGCAAAAAACAGAGAGGGGCTCCAGGTCTTTGGCCTTGGAGTGGCTCCAGATCCAAGTTAAAGTGTAGCTGCTGGAGCCGGAGCCACATTGTGCACTGAAGCCCCTCTCTCTCACACTGGAGCTAAATGAAGAAGTTGCAGAGCAGAAGAGGCAGATAGAGAGAGAAAGATACCTTTGGAGAGGCTCTGAGAGCCGGGGTGGGAATAAGAAGAGGGCTCCAAGGCAAGATACGCTAGAAGAGAGAGAATATAAGGGGGAGTTCAAAAGGTGCACAAGCAGCCAGCTTGTGTTAAAGAGACAGAGAGACAGGAGGAAAGGAGGTAAGAAGCTGAGGGTGAAAGCTGAAGCTTCATTAAATCAACTTCACTTAGAACATTAGTCTGTCGAGAATCTACACATCAATTAGTTTGGTCCACTTTTAGCACCTGAGTGGGTGTCACCAGCGCCGCACCGCTCCTCCTTCCACCTGTTCAAAGAAAAGTTGCAACTCTAATCATTGAAACATTGCCTTTTACTAAATTCATTTAACAGACTCCAGACTCTGCACCTAAATGTAGCCCACTTATAAAACTACATTTTTATATTGTGTTTGCTGCCTCAATTATCATATCATGTTCCACATCTTCATAGCTTAAGCTTTCTCTTCTCTCTATTCTTTTGAGCTGTCGTCCAGTAATTTGAAGCCCACAATGACCTCTGGATCTAGACACTGCACTCTGCGCTCCAACAACCAACAGTTAAAAATAACCTCTGCCCAACAGAGCCATCTTTGTTACACACAGGGAGACAGATAGGGTGCATTCACAGCCCATATAATCTCTCATGTTACTGTACATTTGATGCCAAGTGTCACACACACACACACACACACACACAAACACTTCTATCTTTGTGACGACCCTTGTTGACATAATGCATTCTCTAGCCCCATACCCCAACCTTAACCATCCCAACTTAATGCCTAACCCCAGCCTAACATGTCCTGACCCTTCAAACCAAGTCTGAACCTTTTAAACAGGCACACACACACACACACACAAACACTTATACACTCTTTTACCTCCTCCGAAGAGTATGGTGTCACTGTATAAATGATGTCCATGCTCTGGTTTGATCATGATCTACCAAACACTACATCAAAAATTAAAGGTACAACCCCGGATGCAGTCACACACTCCACATACAGAGTGACACAGTCTTGTAAGTTGCTTTCACTTGTAGAAGACAGTGGCTGAACTCTGGCCACAATAAATTACATAATTGCAAAGTCCAACCAGTAACAAAGTTTTTTTTTCATATTGATTCTTGGATCGCTGGCAGTGCATTGGTCAATGTGTGACTGGTTAAGAAACACTATGAACCTTTTAATCCACTCTCAGTTGGACCTTTGGCAATAATAAACCTTCACAGGTACAACACTTTGTAACACCCAATTTGATTGTCCAAGATTCTTATTATGAGTCGGAAACCCTCCCGTCCACTGCGATTGTATTGTCGAGCAGTCCCCTACTCCCCTACCCCTAAACACAGACATTGTATCGCAGACGTTTTGGTCTACATTTAGCTGCAGAGTGAATGCTATTCTCTGTCACGCTGCTCTTGGGTAAAGGAAGCTGCAGACCAGGAAGAGCGCCAAATTTTTAAGCCAATTGGCATGGTGGCCAAACTGTGTAACTACAACTTCCAGGTCCATCACGTGATGCCACTGGGCCCAAAATGACTTTCCCCGGACACTTTTTTCTAATGTCACAACCTCCTAAAATAACTCCTTTTACTATCAGGATTTTTACCATTTGGTCCGATAACATTTTAAAGTCTTGAAGAGGCGCACAATTGAATCATTTTATCTCCATTCATGTTTGAGGAGCTCTAAACTGGGAGTTAGCTGCTTGGCCAGTGGACGTCTCTAGTGCCCTTACTCTATGGGAACTTTTTTGGCTTCATGCACCACTAAGCAACTTTCACTGGCGTTAACAAGGCCCTTTGTCCAACTTAACATGATACAGTCTTTGGCTTTTGCTTGATATCTAGTGTTGGCAAAAAATATTTATGTAAATGTTCATTAGCTTAGTTAGCGTGCATTGGCTTGAAGGGCTAGTTTGGCTTCCTTACTATATTACGTGTATGTCCCTGACACCCTGAACATCCAATGAACACTATTCACTTTCAAATGCTTTATTGCAGAAAAGAAAATAAAGAATAGCTTAATATTTGTACTGAACAGCCACATCTGATTAGACTGACATAATTCTGAGTCCGGTACAGCCCTAAAATAGTTATAAACACAAAAAAGAATAAATTAAACAACAAGGATCAGTTTTGCTCGACTAAATGTGAAAGTTAGAGGCAAAGGTCAAGTTTGAGGATCCACATGTTGCACTTGTACTCATAAAGTTGAGGTTGAGGCTGGAGCAGGTAGGACACACACATGTGAGGTCACAGTGTCCAAGACTAGAAAGCATTAGAAGTGGGCTTATCCTCTATTTAAATTCCATCCATGTGTCACCACTCTGACTCATCGCTGACATACTTTGCATTAAAATAGAGTTGTAACTGTGTGAAGTTTCTGCTGTTCAAACAGCATTTTTTGCGAAGTCTGCACCAGACAGCTCTCTCTTCCAATTTCACAACGTGACACAAAAATGGGATACCTGATACTTGTATCATCATGTAGGAGTATTGAAATATTGGCTATTTGAACATTGTCAGCATTGTCTAAAAACCACGCACATTTCTTCATATATATGTTTGCTTTACAGCCAGGGAGAATATTAGCACACTGTGCCTCAGCAAGTGCATCAGGAACTATTAATAGGACATGTTTGATTTCACACTGCAGAAGTGGAGCAAATGTTTCACTGAGCAGGAACATGAGACCAAGACTCCCTTACTGTACCCCTGCTGTCACACATGCAGCTAATAAAACCCATACACATACCACCTGAACACATACAGAATCATGTAAACAAAAGCATTCTGCATCCACCATGTTACACTTCACAGCACAGAGTGGAAGTACAGTATGGATTGCATGAGAACAACACACAGGAAGTCGCATCTAACCAATTGTTACCACTGCTCCCACACACACAACTTGTTTGAATGTAAACACACAAGCATTCATTCAAACTTGCCCACTTCCTGTCTTTCAAGGAACACAGCAACACACACACAGCACAGCTTCTACACCCCTTCCCCTCCACTCTGTCACGTTCTGCCTGACCTTGCAGACACGACCGGAGCTGCCTCTGCGCTCACACCGGCTCACGTCTCCCTTTATCTCTCTGTCACAGACATACCCAGCTCCATGCAAACGCCTTTGCTCACCTTCCACAGCGAAGCTATCATAAACCTCCTCATTGTGGATGTTTAAAACCGGCATGGTCCAACTTTTCGCTCTACAGATCTGTCCTCATCCTCCGTGAATCCCCCCTCCTCATCATTCTCTGTCTCGTGACTCTGGCCCTGGCTTTGGACTACACTTAACTCTGGCTGGAGCACTGAATTCCTTTTGCTCAGTCGCTCTGGCTCTCTCTCACTCTCACTCTCACTCTCACTCACACACACACACACACACACACACAGATCGGTCTGTCTGTGCTTGTGTGAACCAAATAGGCACAATGAGAACCCTGTGGCAAATAATATCCACGCTAAATCCCTGTGATTTTAATCGAGGAGGATGTGCGCTGCATAAAATGAATCCCTCACGTGCCTAATGCACTGAGGCACACACACACACACACACACACACAGAAACACACCATCTGCTCACTGATGTTGCCACAGGCTTGACCAATCAAGAGAAAGTACACCGAGAGACATGGAAACAACTTCAACTTAGTGTCCTGCCCGAATATGTGAAATCTAAACGCGCACACTTACTCATGTAGCGGAAGGTCTCCTCGGCCAGCAGGGGGGAGATGGCACTGTGCTGGCCGGGGGCTTCATCTGGAGAGCAGCTAGGGGACACCACCCAGTCCTGGCTGTCCGACAGGTAGACAGAGCCGGAGTCGGCCGAACCGGAGCCCAGAGAGCCGTAATGCTTCCCACTGCTGCCCAGCCCCTCATCTGAAAGAGTCAGATAGATTATCTAATGTCCATCATTTAAAAAACAATCAGCTATGATAGTGTAACATTGGTGACGCATTACAAATCATCATGTTATCATGCATTAGTGACAATATAAATGAATGGGATGCTTTTATTTTGTAAAAACGGTGCAGCCCTGGTGAAAGGAAGTCAGACTGCAGTGAATGTGTTTTGAGAGCGAGTGTGGGCTGATGAAACATTTGAATGTGTGTGTGTTTTCTTGGCTCAGGCACAGTACAAGCCAATGTCCTTCCACTTGAGCAAATATGTGGTTTACTGGGACAGATGGGGCTAACTATAGCACTAAGCCCAAAGACACAGCATACTGTACTTCAGGGCAGCAACATGACATTGGCAGAGTGGCATTTGAAAAATGACTGCAGCCTTTTGAAATACACACATCTCACTGATAGCAGTATCAACATTAATTTCACAGATGACACACACTCCTGAGACATCCTACCTGTCTCAGTGCTCGACTCCTTCTTCTGCACTGCCCGGGGTTTTGCTTCAAACATGTCCTGTCCTTGGAGCGGGAGGGGGGGAGGGTCCCCGCTCACGAACACAAAGCTGGGCAGAAAACGGGAGACGCTATCGCAGTGTCATCACATCCTGTTTCTGCACTGATAGGTGGTGCCTGCACACACCTTTACCTGAGGAGAGAAATGTTAGACATCAGAGAAGCAATGATCCCAGAGATAAAGATATAAGTTCATGTTGACTTTGCTGTTTACAAGCCAAATTAAGGCCAGCACAAATGTTATAGCAGTCACTAAAACTAGTTTAGTGGTGCAAGATGTCATTTTGTTGCTTACAATGAGTGTGTGCGCACTGAAGCAAATATTCCTCCCACACTGTTTCTACTGGACACTTTAACCATTGATTGTCTGGCATCTTCTTTAGTATTCAGCAGATCTTACGTGTCACTACAACCATTTAAAGAACATCAGTCAAGCCTTAAAGTCTCAAGAACACTTTTACTTTCTTCAGTCTGTATGGCACAAATAATTTGTAAAATAAATAAAAGAAAGTCACTCATTTAGAGATCACAGAGTAGCACCAAGCAAGCCAGCTGCTATATGTTTTCATTTCCTTCTATGTGCCACATACTGTTTTAAGGGAGGGCCAAGGGGTGAGACAGAGCCCTCCCACATCCTGTTGCCTATCTCTGTAGGGACTGCTCCAGGGCTTAAAGGGATGACTAGAGGAATGAGACAGGATGTGCTCTCTTAAAGGGATGAGCTCTCAGTAGAGAATTTGGAAAATGTAAGACCATCTGTAGACACATGTTTCTGTACAGTATGATACAGTAATGAATTATGGGCAGCTCCGATAATTTAGTATTGTAGTCTCATAAAGCTAGGAGGCATTTGAGAGACCAATTTTTTTTAAAAAATGGTCAAGTTGCCAGCAGATATCCTTTAGCCCTTACTATGCCCCCAAAATGCTGGATACTAATGCAGTTTAATAGCATCTTTCACCTCCAGTTTGTAACATAAATGAAGTCTCCAAGCTCAAATTAAGACAGCCACTGGTCACATTGCTATGATGTCATTGGGGACAGCTATCTGCAGAGCCACAGAAGACATTATACAACTGATCTTCATGAGTAAAATCTGTGGAGGCCTACGTTCAAGTGCTGCTATGTTACATCAACTACTTTGCTAAGAGGACACTGTGCAGCATCATGTGTCCTTCCATCCTGCATAACCCTGGTACCATCTGCATGAATGACCTTAGTGCTTGGCCTGTGCGGGCAGACATATCTGTGGGTGAGTGTGTATCAGTGGGCATGCCTGTGGAAAGACAGCGTCCTTGAGCAACATTCATCCTCTGCTTACATAACACTGAGGCCGAAACTGTTCGCTCCGTGGAGGAGATTAATGTGATGCAGTAATGCTGCAGCCTAAATGTGCTGTTTACCAGTAGAGGCCTGGCAGATATACTGTGCTGACCCATTAATGGCACTGGGATTGGAATTATAATGGTCTCATTTACATAAGGGCTAAGTGCACTGTCCATGCACAGAATGCATATATTAATCATCCTTAATAGCAACTGACATCAATGTGAGCCAGATGAAGATATTTTGCACCAATTATGTTCATATTCATCACAACAACGTCTTTTAGATGAAGCTTCATTTTGTCCCTGATTTAAAACTCCATGGCTGATCTTGACCAAGTGCCTGTGAGTCATCTCATGAGTAACACAGCCAGACAACTACATGATTGTGATACAGTCTGAGCTTGCCTGGACATTAAATAGCAAGAGATGCACTTTTAGTCTCAGGGTCTTTTTATCCCCTTGACAAGGTTAAACCACAAACTATTTTGTTCTAATAGAAATTAAATGATGTGATTTACGTCGTACCACACATGCACACAATTTCCTTTGGCTTCAAAAAGCTGGAGAAAATCCAAACCACAATCTCAAAACTACCACTTAAGTGTTGGTAATAGATTATTGCACACTATAAAATGAGTAAATGTAAGCACAACCGCAAGATGGCAGCCTCTGAAAAACAGGCAACACAGCAGCATTATACACAACACTAGTCTGTCACAGCTGTCCCACAGGGCCTGTCTGCTTACATCAGCTTTCATCTCCCTTCATGTCTAATCTTTTCATTCAGCTGACGCTCCTATCCAGAGTGACCTACAAGTGCAGCAGTAAAAATGTCCGTATCTAAATACCATGCTCAGGTATGGTACTACTATGAGTTCAAAATGAATAATACAACAGCAAATACTACAAGGAGCTCTTTCCTCTCCACGCCTGAAACTCCAACCTGAATTTGTTCAGGGTGGAAAGATGTGCTTCATTTGCCACTTTTTGCCTCATGTCACCGTTTCCATCTGTGCTGTGTCCCAGCATCTGCGCTCGGACAGGGCCTGAGGACTTGCTTTAAAAGGAATAGGACACTGGCAGCAGCATGTGACTCTGACTGGACCCGAGACTTTACTGTAACTGCGTATCCAAAAACCTCTGACTGGAACTTCAGCACACATTCCTTGAAAGAAGAAAACAGTACAGTGTAATGTAACTAAAACATGAAATCTCCTCTGATCAGATTTGTTGCCAATATCCATAAAAACTAACCTTCACATGTGCCAATAATCTACTTTGAAGAATTTGATTATACCAAACTCTGTTTTAAAAACCTACATTTTAGAGACTTTTTAATTGTCGGTATATGTGCAGACAAATAAATATGACTTAATATGACTTTGATTAATCCTCAGGAGCTACCCTCCATTTCGGCATGACTTAAATATACGACAACACAATTATTTGTGTATAATTTTACTATTTTGCTGTAACTCTACAATCATCTTCTACCTTGGTGGGCTGTGGAAAAGCTAAAATTGAGGTTTTAGTGTTATCAAGTGCTGCTTTGTGGGCCATTTACAAGCCGAATTTACAAGATCCCAGCGTGCAATAAAATATATTTAAGTTAAATTATCATAATTTCGCTTTTAGTTTATTTTTAATTATAATTATGTTTTAAGTATATACTCGTTGACTCCCTCGTTGACAATCAGATATGCAAACAGACGGAGAAAGCTTCGTGTTTAACTGCCGATTAGCTAATATGTTGTACATTTATATACAATTATATGTATTTTTTAAAGGCATAAAGGTGACCGTATTTAAAACATGAACCGTTGATGATAATCAATGTTGTTATGTTAGCTAACCAATAAACAAAAATGCACAGCAGGCCAGCTAACGGTTAATGTGACCGTTATATAAGCTAAACCTACAGATCAGCAGGTAGCTGTTAGTCCTTTGTTGAAATCTAATTTAATTTAACCTACGATTATATTTATTTTAATAAGTATTAAGCATTAGCTAACGAAACGTTTCGCATGTTTTCCTGTGCTGGGCGAGGATGACAGCTCCACTGTTGCTTGGCATTGCGTTGCCATCGCGAGCTCAAACTGGCAGCATCGCTCACGCGGGCAGCATTACGGCATTAAGGGTAATTTTAGAAAATGTGTCTGATTATCATAAACTCACCCTATGTCAATGTTACTCCACAGCATTGACAGTTCCAGTGTTACATGTGGTGTCTGTCGATGCCTTCACCAAAACCTCAAACAATGGAGCGGAAGGGAGGGAGATGGTGTGTTACTCATCACCGCGCGACAGAGTACACTCGATGACGTATTAATCACGCGTCAATTATCTGTCAAATTAAAAGTCCTGTCAAAAAAAAAAAATACATTTTCGCGGAGGGGTGTTGTGTTGCTCGGTGTTGGCTGTAAAACTTGATACTAATTTAACACCGTGTGTGATTTCAAATGATTAATTATTAATTTGGACACAAAATGACAGAGTGTGAACTTTACAGACGGAGTGTCGCGGAGGATTTCAGGCTCTGCTTTGTATTTTAACTTGTTTACGTCGAGGCGCTGCAGTCGGGAGGAGAAGGTAAGCAGCTTCTTTTTATCACAAGATACTTCCCATAAATAAAATAAGTACAAGACATATTATTTTGCTGAGCTAACGTTAGCTTAAGGCTTGAAACATGCGCGTATAATCATAGCTACATCGGTAAGCCTAGCTACTATAATGGGAGACTTACAAGATGCGTAACGTTATTGTTGTTTTGTGTATTTTCTGTCTTTACGGAGTTCAAAAAAAATCAGCGTGTGTTGAAATAACGTCACCTGAAATTAGATAAAAAGCCACTCTAGTAACAGTTATTAACCGACGGCATTAACATATTTAATAACAGTCGTGTTCTGATTAAACTAAAATGGCTGCAGTTAATCCTAACCTCGAAGCGGATTGGATTTAATAATTGCATAGCGAAATTAAATATTTAAGATTGTAATCAACAAACCATATTGCCTATTTTCAGTGCATCATAAACAAAGACATCTGAATAAATACATCTCACTGTTACACAACACTGTTTTTTTTACAGGCTTCATTCACAATTTTCCACCCGAAGCACCTGACTCAGAGATATCTGCTGGTGAATTACACATCATTCGCTCAGATCTCTAGATCACCTGACACAGCCAGGTAAGCTACGGGCGGATGGATGAATGGCTGAGGCTGGATGGATGCTGGCTGCTCTCTAGTCTAGTAGGGGATTCAACGGTTGTCTCGTGTTACACTGCTACGCTCCATCCCCCTGTCTCCCTCCATCGCGGTCGGTCTCCTCTGGCCTGTGAGCGGATGAATGCCAAAGCCTGTGATTTTACCGTCGCCAAAAGGACTCCATGTCTTTCTTGGTAAGGATATCAAGCTGCTGCATGGGTTTTACTCTGTGCCTCCGTGCGTGTCGGCTGAGTTGTGACCCGGTAGATTTGTAGTCACGAATCAGCTGGCGGCTCATGCTGATGCCTCTGGTGGGCAGATTCAGTCAGCCTGTAACAATTAGGAGCTTCTGGATAGCAATGCAGCAATCTATTTATCAGATATCAGATAACCAAATTTGCATTTTTGTAAGTTAAATGAGCTGTCAAATATTTAAATAGCTGTCTGAAAACCCAGATTCATCTGCGTATATACCACGGGCTAATGTAGATTGGAAAATATCAGATAGACTTTTGATATCACATCTCACATCTAATGGGCACATCTGATTATGTATGCAGCTCTTATCTTGCTCCGTTGGGACACATCTCAGCTGCCTCTTTGTTATCGTCACTCTACTTCTCTTTCCACTCACCATTTCCCATAAAATGCCCTGTAAGTGCCCTCACAGCCCGTATTCCCAGATGCTTGCTTCTCTGCCTCATCTCTGACCCTCCCAACCTCCCCGAGGCAGTGTATCACCTTCCGCTCCCTCGCTCCATGTCTCCTCACCACTCCTCCATGTCCTGTAGGGCATGTCTCACTTGTGCTCCTCCCCCCCTTCACTAGGACTGTTCCTGCATCTCCCACACTCAGGTCCAGCCCTTGGACATAGAGGAGCGCTATGAGGACATCAGCCACCAGTTCCTGGTCAGTAGCCAAGACGCTGTCAGCATGGAGACAGGCGTCACACTGATGCTCTTCCATCACTATTCATTCAGCATCTGTCTGGAGCTTCTGAACCCTTGCCTCAGAGTTGTTACAGACACTAACTATTGGAATAACATTGCAGCTGTTAAAAGGACAGTTTACCCTTAAGTTAAAAATATATTTTGCCTCTTACCTGTAGTGCTATTTATCACTCAGATTTTTCTGATGTGAGTTGCACTGTTGGAGATATCAGCTGTAGAGACGTCCGCCCTCTCTCCAATATAATGGAACTAGATGGCACTCGGCTTGTGGTGCTCAAATCGCCAGAAAAATACATTTGAAATTTTCAACAGCAATGTCTGTTTCCAGATATCATGACCCAGTTACTCATCATAATCCACAGACCTTTTCGTGAGCAGTTTCATGTAGGAACTGTTTTCTTCTACTGAACTACACCTGTCAACCCAATTGGCAACTGTGTTACGGTTGGGGTTAACTGTCCCTTTAAAGCTGTTGGTGACATGTAAAGGGGCACTCCATCAAATTAATTTTCCATAACCACAGAGGACTCACAAGGAACAGATTGAAATATGAAAATTGATGCATCAGAGGCTGAGATATCTCAATCTTATGGGTCAAGCTCCAAAAACAGTGGATACTACAATTCCCACAATCCAGTTCTTTTTTTATTTGACCCTTGGTGAATGCCCATGTCTCTTAGACTCCCAGTTTATAACACATGCCTTTGATGACTAAGTGTTTAGCCCAGGCCAAGGTGATCCTGGTGGCATTATCATGACATCATCGGGGTATTTTCTCAGATTGGACAAAGCTCCTCCAGAACCACAGAAGATTTTATATAGCTGGCTGATAAGTAAAATGATTTTCATGTGTAAAATCAGTGGAGTGCCCCTTTGCTGATTATTGATTTGACTGATTTCAACTGAAAATTTGCCTGTTTTATTAAATTCCTTTATAATCATTCTAAATGCAGTACTTAATAGTTAGTAATTATTACTAACTACTTAAAGGGATAGTTCTGTTCTCTTGAAGTGGGGCTGTATAGGGTACTTATCCATAATCAGTGTGTTATATACAGTAGATGTCAGTCGACACGCCCCCAGTCTGGAGAAGCAGGCCACAGTGCTGATACAAAAGTTAAGCAATGTACTGCTGTGGATGGGGGGCAGCAGCGTAACATATTTGAGCCACCTTAAAAAATCAATAAAAATTTAAGTGTACGCCATATTGAGAGTATTTTCACTGCTTTACCTTTCTGTCAGCCCATTCCGACAGGGAAGCAGTTGATTTCTTCCCCATCTATGCTCTCGTCAAAGTAACCAGGCTCCACTGACAAAAACAATAATTTCGGCTTGTGAACACGGGAGCTGCTGGTCTGCTGCTGCCTTGATCAGCTTGTCAGTTTGCGTTGTGTGACTTTGGTGAATCAGAACTAACCCTTTTCAACGCCAAAGTCACAGGGTAGCACAAACAGAATGGTAGACCAGCAGCTTCTTTGTTCAGGGATTTTAAACCTCTATTTTTGTCAGTGGAGTCTGACTTTGAGGAAAGCAATATATCAGCTTCAGTTCCCCTTTGGAAATCACTGTCTGACGGTAAGGTAAAGCAGTAGAAGCACTTAAACTGATATTGATTTTTTTTTAGCTGATCCTTTTTTAGGTGGATTCCAGACTGCTTCTCCAAATCAAGGGTGTGCTGACTCACATCTCCTGTATATAATAAACTGACTATGGACAAGCACCTCATATAATCCCCCTTAAAAAGATATGAACTATCCCTTTAAAATGTACTGCTTGTGTTTGAGGTCATTTTCCCTCAATAATACAGACATATTACTGGGACAGTATGGAAAAAATCAATAAAACACATCTATCAGGTGTGTTTTAAAGAAAGCTGCATCAGAAATACCTCAAACCGTCTGATGCTGAAAGAAAACCAGGCGCTACACTGTCCCAAAAATCTGTCTGCATCACTGAAACTGCAAGCATCACGCACCCCGTCCCAACCCTTTGCTCTGCTCAGTGTCACAGTGCCACCGTCTGGCAGCTGTCGTCCCCTCACACATTACTTCACCATTGCAAAATTGGTTATTGTGTTAGAATATAAAGAGGCAGTCCACAAAATTATTAGCACATAACAGAAAAGGCCTTTGCATGGTTTTGTTAATACCTGTCACTAAAGAAGCTTTTGGTTGTTGTAATTGTTTTCAGGTTTTACCACCATTAGCTTCTTTTTTTTTTATTGTTGTTGTTGTTTTCGGGAAGAAGGACCTGTAACAGAGCCTGTGAGTGAGGACCCTAAGTTCTGTCAACATAACTTCACTTCCTGCTGGTCATTAACAGAGGTCGATGAAGGTCATAAATAATTAATGCAAATTTAAACTGACAGCTCATGTGTATGTGTTGCAGTTGCTTTGCTGAATTATTTTGATATCCATTTGGAGTCACCTTTGAGATGAATTTATAATGTGTGTGTGTGTGTGCGTCCCTGCAGAGCTGTGACGGTTCTGAATACACTCTGCAAGGGCCAGCAGGTGGCGATGACGTCACAGGGCTGTCACCCGAGCCAGCCCACTACCAGCTGCTGTCTGAGCTGGGTGAGAACACAGCATACATTTGAGTCAGACCATTATTTGCACACATTTTTTCTCACTCAAATCTTTAAGAAAAAAATGAAAGTGCAGTAAGATTTAATTTGAAGCAAATTAAATGTATCACAGGAAGAGGCTTCAATAACTTGAGCCAGGTGAACATGGCACGCCACATCCCTACTGGCCAGCTGGTGGCTGTCAAACAAACCAATCTGGATGAGTGCACCGAGGAGGAACTGCTGCAGCTCATGGTGAGCTGCTATCCAGAAATGATGTGGTTCTTCTCTTCAAAGCATATTTTAGTGTTTCAAAAAGTTCATGAGGCCATCCGCCATGCCTCTGTAAACCCACAATAGTTGCTTTCCATCCAGGATTGTTTCTATCTGATCTCTGTCTCAAACCCTAGAATGAGGTTCTTCTGTCCAGGCTTTTCCGTCACCCCAACCTGCTGACCTCTCGCCTGGTTTTCAGCTCCTGCTGCCAGCTTTGGGTCCTCACACCACTCATGTCCTATGGTCAGCCACACCTCAATAACTTTTTGTTTTGTCCTTTTAAAACCCATCAAACTTGAAGTTGAAACAGTATGCTGTGCACACTAACACCTTATAGCTATTTATTGGTTTTGTCATTCTGTATTAGTGCATTTCTTTTTACAAAACCCTCTCAGGTCAAAACGATTGCACTCAGAATTTGCAGCGCTGTCTCAAAAAACTCAGATAAATCACTGCTGAATTTCCATGAGAATTACCTGCTCAGCTTCTTTCCCCTCCTCTTGCCTGCAGGCTCCGCAGACACCTTACTAAGAACATATTTCCCAGATGGAATGAGTGAATCCCTGATAGCGTACTTGCTATACGGTGTACTGAAAGCATTGGAATACCTGCACCGGATGGGCTATGTTCACCGGTCAGTGAGAGATTATAAGATACATCTGTATTATAAAATATAGAAATATTTGTATCTTAATGTCTGTCCACATAAACCTTTCCTTACAGGGGGGTGAAGGCCAGTCATATCCTGCTGTCAGGGGAGGGCCATGTCTACCTCTCAGGGCTCCACAGTGTTTACAGTATGATGCGTGAGGGAAAGAGGATGAGGGCAGTGTTCGATATGCCCCAACACAGCCCTGCCCTGTTGCCCTGGCTCAGCCCCGAACTACTGCGACAGGTCAGGACTCACTGGATCAAGTGATAACATTAATGACAGCATATTTTAGAAAGCAACAGTGTCAGCCTTATTCTAAGGTATTCTGTCGCTCCTCTCCCCACGCTGTTGCCCTCAGTAGGACCTGCACGGTTACGGAGTGAAGTCAGACATCTACAGTTTAGGTATTGTGGTCTGTGAGCTTGTCAGCGGCAGAGTGCCTTTCCAGGACATGCCCCCCACTCAGGTATTGAAAACACTTCTATCCAGACCATTAAGAAGAAAACATATATGCACATTTAGCTTTAAACTACAACTGTAGTCCACAGGATGTGTCAGTGTTTGAATCTCCCTGTTCAGATGCTGCTTCAGAAGCTGCGCGGCTCCCACTGCTGCCTGCTGGATGTGGCTCCCTTCCCGCTTGGCGAGCTGGGGGGGCTGAAGGTGTCGCGGTCCGGGGTAGACTCCGGCATCGGGGAGAGCGTGGCCACTGGGAGCCTGACACACAGCGCCACCGCTCCTCCCACCGACCGACCTCAAAGCCCTGGGCCCAAAAACCACTCAGCCACCCTCCACAACCTGGTTCAGCTATGTCTGCAGCAGCAGCCTGAATGCAGGTCATTACATTAAAGGGACAGTTCACCCCAAAGTCTGAAATACATATTTTTCCTATTACCTATAACATCCAGCTCACAGACCTAAATGCAAATGAGTGTTTGTCCTGTTTTTGTCTTCCACAGACCGTCAGCATCTACACTGTTGACCCACGCCTTCTTCAAACAGGTGGGTTTATTAGTCATGATGTCAGTTTTTGTCTAAAATCATTTCTTTGTGAAATTGATGTCATGTGAACTACAAGGATTTTGTCAGGAAAAATAATGTTCTGTGACAGCAAAGAACAACACAGTATGTTGTGCCAGTGTTGAAGCCGCGTTGTGTTGTTCTGTGGCAGGTGAAGAGGCACACCAGAGACACCTTCCTCAGCCTCATGTACCCAGCAGTGCCCCTCACCAGCCCCGAGGACCCTCCAGTATCCTGCCCGCCCGCCCCGTCCTGCCACGTTCCAACATCACCCTCCACAGACACCGCCGAGGCTGTGTGGGACTTCTCCTAACCTCAAGTCCCTGTCCCTAAATCTCCAAAATTTTGACTAGCAAGCCAAACACAAGACAATCAAAGCAAAGCAATGAGGCCAAATTCTACTGTGCTTTTATTTTGTATTATTAATCCGACTCTCTGAGCCTTTTTTAAGTAGTTTTGTAGTTTTTTTAATGTGTTTGTCTGATGCATATATGGAGTTTGGGTTGTGGGCTGGTGATGAGACTGTGAAAGTGCTGGATCAAAGACGCTGCTCTGATCAAATACTAAGGAATCATAATGTCACGGGACAAAACACTAAAGAAATCGATTAACAAATAATCACGCACTTCCTCCGAGGTTAAAAGCAACTATGAATTAAAGGAAAAGTCCACCCAGAAATACTTCTTTAAAAAACAGCTGTTTGTACTAAACAATGGATGTTTTAACGGTTTCACATATCCATGGTTAATGGTCATTTTTTAGGTGACCATATTAGCTGTTCTTCTTCTCCTGGAGGACCTTGTTAACCGAATCTGAAATAAATAACTTAATACCTCAAAAAGTTAAATCCTAATAGGTACTGACAAAATAACCACTGAAGTCTATGCTGGGGCGGATTTTTCCTTTACATTGTTATGTTTTCAGACTGTGAATAGTGAATACTTGGGTACATAAAAAGATATTAACAACACATGCATATATATTCAAATTTAACTGAGGTTTTCAAACTAAGAGTCTAAAGTTGTGTGAGCTGCAGTTTGCAACAAAATTTGCCATCCTTCTTGGAGTCATAACTCAGTAAAATCTGAACACAGACATAATGCACATATTTTTAGATTCGGTGTGACTTGTACCTTCTGAGGATATAATAATATCTGATGTCTATCGCGAGTAAAAAGATGCATCTTGTTACTGCAGAACTTGCTTGAGAATCTTCACGATTTTAAGTTTTTATCAGTATCAAAGTAATCCACTCATAGTTGTCTGTACATCCATGGGTACATTGCAAACAGGAACTGCTAGGAGTTAATTCGGCATACTTTTAATGGTGCCAATTTGCCAAAACAAAACAAATATATGCCGAAAAGTCAGGCTCAGGTTGTTGCAGCTGACTTACTGACTCCATGGCAACATCATACTTCAGTATACCAAAATATTACTATTACTACTTGCTAAATTACACACACTCCCAAATGTAAGTCTCAAGTGCCCTGAGGCATCAGAAATAACTGAGGAAATATGACTAAATTAAATTAAATAACTGTCCACAAGTAACTATGTGAACACATTTTGCTGTATGTTTGAACATATATGCACATAGTGTTTAACATATGTATAGACATTTTAAAACATGTTATCATATGTTTGCCTGTGATCAAATAAGACGGTGCAATGTTGGCTCCGGGAAAAAAAAGAGCACATGAACAATAGAGTAGACTTTATTATAGTGTAGAGTATATCTAGTGTCCCACGTAGGAGTTAGTGGATAACCATCAGTAGATAAAAACCTTCCCTCCTGTATCGTCAGTGATTCGCCAAACGAGTATTTCTACTGTGCGCTGTGACCACTTCTCCGACAATGCCTTTTTGTTTCAATGGAACCTGCATTCTGAACATGGTGATCTATCTTTAACTGTGATTAAGTGTACTGTGTATGACAACTGTGATCTGCAGTACATAACAAACATGGTAGCTGTATGAGCCTTATATACTGTATATATACACATATATTATAAATGATATATATGAATATACAACCTTTGATTTCTAAACCTGTTAACCTTGATTTTCTTTATAGATCTGTGTTAACAGAAAAGTGTGTACTATGTTTGTTTGTTTGTTGTTTTTCTATAAAATGCTCCATTCTGCAGTACTTCCAACCATCACAGTGCAATATTCTTCTTCTTAAATCCCTGGTATTTGATGGATCCTGGAGCATGGATTGTAAAAGGACTTTCTTCTGGGATCTAGACAACATGTACTCAACTGTAGACAAACTGATTATTTCGCTTGATATGGATGTAACTGTCCATGACTGTTCTGACACATAGAAGCGAGCAGATGATGACATCTTCTTCTGCGTGCGTGAGGAGACTTCTTGGTGGTGGTGTCGAAGTCTCCTTGAGCAAGATACTGAACCCTAAATTGTTCCTGATGGCTGTGCTGTCGGTGTGTGAGCATGTGTGATGAACAGTTAGCACCTTGTACAGTAGCCTCAGACACCCGTGTATGAATGTGTGTGTAAATATGGTGCTTGTGTTGTACAGTTGTTGGTGACTATTTACTGTTTACCCACAACAACTCACACACAAATCTAATAAATAGCTACAGGTAAGAGGACAAATATGGATATTTGATTTTAGGGTGATGTGTCCCTTTTAGTGGGCTTTATGTGACTTCATTAAAACAGTTAAATAATTTCTGGCTGCAAAAGAAATAAAATCTTGAATAACTTATCATCTGTGTTTTAAATTAGAGGAGCAGCAGTAATCTGATGACCTATCTAACTTGTTATTAAAATTAATCTAACTTGTTATTAAAATTAATCAGACCTCATTTTGTACATGAACATGCAAACTGATACCTGACTGTGTCTGAATATCCCACTGATGTGTTTTGCTTATTAAACATCACATTCTGGAAACAAAAACCAAAAAGCCCTTATCCTGGTTTTGAGAAAGCTCAGTGTACTCCATGAGGTATTTCAAAAGGAACTGAAATACAGAGGCATGTAGTCATGTTTCTGAAGGCTGCGCTGTTTGCACAAGCATGTTTTTAACTCAAGTGATGAAGCAAATACTACTATTATTAACAATAATAATTTATTTTTAGCATCTTTAAAGCAAAAATGCAGCCCAGAGTGTTTTGTACAGCAGTATTAAAACAATATAATCACAAAAAGAATAACAAAAACAACACAATAAAGCAGGAAAAATTCTGTAAAAATCAAAGTATTCATTGAATCATCACATAATTACACATGATATAATTAACTTTATGTCAAATCTAGTGAACTGATTCAAATGCCCCTTAAATAAAACCTAAATACACTGAAACATGAAGTCAAATAACACATTTTTATTAAAAACCAAAGCAAAAATTACATTTAAAAAAAGCTACAGTTCATATGTACTGTCCATTACAAGTCACACAGTAGAAAACAAAAGGCCATAGACAAACGCCTTTTGCACAAGATAGTCGAGTCCACAACCCACATGTCTAGTTCGAGCTGCTTCAAGTTCCATCATTACAGTTCATCCAAGCCATGAAATCCCCACTGAAAACCACACTCAGCTGTCACTGTTAAGATTGATGCTCAAGCTCATTTCATGATGTAACTGTGCTCAGGCTCCAGGGTCAGGCAAAACTCCACGTTAATTGGATATAGCTCCACATTGTTTCCTCCTTGGCTCTTTGTATTCGACCCGTCCATCCAGGAAGAGACTCAGAATTTCGCAAATAAAAAGTGTATTAAAAATCACTAACTAAAACTCTCCATACTGTGATAATGGTAGTTTGTCATAACTCAACAGCAGGACCATATCTGATTTACTATGCCTGCCAGGTTTAAGGGAACTGGTGAATTCCAAATGTGGTACTCTTTTATCCGCCTAATTGCTTGTTCAACAAGAATATGGCTATGGCCTGGGTATTCTCAGTTTTCTCTGTGCTGAATTGGTTCAGGTGCTCAAAAGGTGGGGTTATCAATTTGGCCCCAAAGTCCTCCAAAAGCTTCTCAATGAGGAAGCCCTCACCTGCCAGAATCTCATCCCCTGGTTCCAGTAACTTCAAGATTCCTGACTGCCTCTTTAACTCCTTGTCTGAGACACAAAAGTGATTGCACCACAAGGTGCGACTCCAGTTAAAGCCTTGAAGGAGGTAGTGTTCTTGTTTGTGGAGAGTGTTTCAGAGCAAAGGGCAAGTACCTCTGGGCTCTCGCATCTGACGTCTATGCAGCCAAGAATGACCCTCAGATTTGGGCCGTACTGCTGGAATTTCACAGGCATTGTTCGTCTCATCTGCTCCCGAGTCATCCAGTTTTGAACGGATCCCAACACAAGGTACAAGTAATTGGACCATGTGATCAAAAAACATCTCACTGTAGAACTGCTCACTCCAAATATAGCTGCCAGGACTCTCTCCTTGAGGCCAGTGGCGACACGCAGGCAAAACATGAAGAACTCATCAATAAGCGGCATCTTATATCCGTGGCTTGGCCTCAAGGCTTCTTTCTCTACAGAGGCAAATCCAAACTTCCTTGCGTCAGGGTTCAGTGGATTTCCAGAAGTCAAAAGACATGTCTTTAGATGGGAACCTTGTAAAGAACCTGAAGTCTTCATCAGACACGCACCATCTATCCAGCAGGAGTCCGTGGTGAGTAAGGCTCAACACCTGTTCCTCCAGCTCCTGTTTTTTTCTTAATGCTTCATCAAGTGCACCTAATTCAACAAAAACATGCAGAAAAAGAAATGATTGACAATTTGTGTTGATAAATTGCACATTAAAAAAGTATAATATGATCGTTATGTTGATAATTCCAGGCGACCTCGTCTTTTTCCTCTGTCATTATGCCTTTACATTTCCTGCATTATGTGACCCCCTTGCTGGGTTGCTAAATTGTTAACCTTAGTTGCGTCTTGTTGCCTAGCAGTGGTGTTGTCACAACTTAACCAACTGAATGCCAACTATATCTAGTGATGGGCGAAAATGAATGACTGAATCCACTGAACGACTCTTTAGTGTTCAATGTGTATAGGTCGTCCTACCAAGGAACGATCCTCAACTTTAAGAAGCACCACAGACCTCCTCCAGCCAAGGTCAATGGTGCATTTGGTGACTTAGGTGAGTTCAGGAGCCTTAATTTGTAATATAGTAACGACATGGGCAATACAAAGAAAATGTGTAGGAATTTAATGCTCATAGTGTTTCAGCACATTTATAGTGGCTTTCTATTAAGTCACAGGTGCTACAATGTCAGTGAATTTAACTGACACTTGCCACGGACATCAGTTATAGCACACAAACCAAAATGTCCACAAGTAGGGCTGCAACTAACAATTATTTTCATTGTCGACTAATCTGTCGATTATTTATTTGATTAGTCGACTAATCATTTTATCGAAAAATGTTGAAAAATGTCGGTCTGTCTCTCCCAAAGCCCAAAATTCCCTCAACATCGTTTACTGAACCACCCTCCACACAACTTATGCTGGGAGATTACTGACTTGACAAGAAGTGCACTGCTGCTGAACAGTGGTTGGTGCTATGATACCACCCATAACCTCTCCCTTTTCTTAAATTATAAATTTAAATTTCTTGTAACAAATTTGAATTGTGAAGATGTAGTTATACACATCCTGGATATGAAAAAAAGTGAAACAGCCCGTCCTCTCTTTCCCTCCCCCCTTATTTCCCCAACAACATCTCAAGTCCACACCAGGCCCGTAGGAAGTGTGCCAGGCTTTGAAGCCAATTTTCATAGTGGCCAAACAGTGGTACTGCAATTTTCAGGGTCCATCATGTGATGCCCTGCAGCCCAAAAACACTTTTTCGCACAGATTTACACTGGGAAAGAGACATCTTTAAATCATTGGATACATTTTTTTGAGGTTCACAACTCCCATTAAATGACTTGTTTCACAATCAGGATTTGATCCCTTCTGTTCGATAACATTTCAAAGGTCAAGTGAACCTGCAAGATTTAATCATTTCATCCCCATTCAACTTAGCGGAGGGCTAAACTGGAAGTTAGCCACTTGGCTGGCGGAGGCAAGATGCTCGTCTGCACTTGGTCATGCTCAGGAGCTGTAAATCTCCAGTGCGCCTCCTCTATGGGCCACATGGGGGTGATGCTGATCATCTGAGTAATTTTATACCTGGCATCTGAACCATTCTGGCTTCATGCGCCACTGAGCAACTCAAGGTTCTACACACTTAACGTTTACAACAGTTTAAAGTGTTTCTTTTTTTTTTTCCCCCAGAAACACAGTCTTAAAGCTAACAGTCCTAGTGAACTTAGAGCCATATCTTGAAAGTGCAAGGGAATGAGGAGAAGATGGGAGAGCCAATATGTCCAAGGTCTATGATGGATCAGAGGCATGCAGACTGCTGCAGAGCCTGCCAGGAGCAGTACTCCCATAACACTCCTCAGGGTTGCTGCCTGAACTACCTTGGGCTTGTCCACCAGCCCTGTCATTAGGACAAAATCTTCATTTTCCGCCCTCAAGATGTCCCAATTTGCGCTTAGATTGCCACTGAGCTTCATCTGAGCTGGCTAGGGTTTAGATTGCGCCCATGGCTATGCACTGCTGCTGGTGCTGCCGTGTAGCTAGCATTAGCTAACAAACTTGAAAACTCACTCAACAGCTGAATACGCATGCACATACTCAATTGCCAACTCAAAGGTCCACTTCTGAGACCATGTTTGGGGTTCATGGTGTTACAGAGATGAGGCAGACTCATGTTGGGTGCTGTTTGTAAATCCAATCTTTACACTGCAGTGAGAGAACACAGAGCGTTCTATTTCTACATGAATTAACGAATGGTAAAGTTAATCACACATTGACCCTGCTTGACTCTGCGCAGAGTATGATCTGCTGCTCTGAGAGTGCAGTATTAAATAACCGAACAGTACATTCCAACAGCTGTCCGAAATTACGAACGGTCTAGTTTGTGCAAGAGTGTGCCCTGGCACTTGGAGTTGAGTATTTCCGAATGTACCCCATAGTTGACAACGAGCTTTACTGACGACCAATCATAAAAACGACAGTCACAGGCAGAAATTTGTTTCCCAGTGGCCACTCCTGGTATTGCAGTAAAAAAAAAGGCCCTGCGGACCAAAAGGTGTTTTCCCCATAGGCCCCCATTGTAAAAGAGACTGTTGACAGGACACCTAGAACTGCAAACAAGGTCAATTACTAATCTTTCTATTCTGAATGTTTCGACATTATGGCTTTATAATAGTAAAACTTTCCAGGATTTGAGAAAAATGCCTTACAATGATCATGTTTACATGGACATGAGTAACCTGTTTATTATCAGGTTTTCAGAGTATCCTGTTTATGTGTTTGAGCGTGTACACTCGATATTCAGTTGATGAGAAACCCAAATATGCTAGCTGGAGTACTCTGAAATAAACTGGTACGTATACAGGAATATGAATAACCTGATCTCTCCATGCTCATGTAAACATCATATTACAAATGTGATCACAACCTGGATACACCTCATTAACAGGTTATTCATGTCCATGTAATCGGACTCAGTGTAAAATTGGGAACTCGCAGATGTGGCCAGCAGGAGAATTTTTTTAGATAATAATGAGAGTATAACTTAATAATTATA